ACTGAAAAATCCTCTTTGCACATCTTTATGCCTCTGGCCACTGCGGCTACAAAGTCGTGGCCATTCGAAGGCATGGCCATCCTTCAGAGCCATGTCCCTTGATAAAACGTCAATGCCAAAGAAACACAGACAGATACACCGTACATACCTGCTGTCTCATCAGCCTCTGCCACCACAGTCCCCTCGAAAGAGTAAGCAGTTTACGAAAGAAAGCTAAACATTTAGTCCCTTGAAAACAGCATTTATGGTCACAAACTCTTAAGCTGAGAGGAGAGGGAAGATACAGTATTAACAGCCCACTAGATTCAAACAGAAGACAAAAATGTTAGAAACCATGGAAAAGAATTCAACCGCCCCTCTACATATGTATGCGTCTCCTCTCCTAGAGATACAATTTGAGTTGCAAAGCTTGCTCAGCTAGCTGGTGGTGCAGCTGGCCCAGCTCAGGTCTCCTAACTGGGTCCTTCTCGTGCACCCTGGCATTTCGTAATAACAACTCAGTGGCTATGGAACACTGGAAATGATACTCGGCCCCTCTGGGTCATTCTAACACGAGTCCTATTAACCCCATGTCCTGAGGACTCTTGGGAAGAACTAACAGATGACGAACGGAGGCACATATAAGAATGATCATTAAGAATACCCAGGCAAGGGCGCCTGGGTGGCTCAGTCATTAAGCATTCTGCCTTCAGCTCAGGTCATGATCTCAGGGTCCAGGGATCGAGTCCCACATCGGGCTCCCCCGCTCGGTGGGAAGCCTGCTTCTCCCTCTCCCACTCCCTTTGCTTGTGTTCCCTCTCTCGCTGTGTTTCTCTCTGTCAAATAAATAAAATCTTAAAAAAAAAAAAAAAAAGAAAACCCAGGCAAGAAATAAAACAAAGCAGCTCTTGAGCAATTTTAGTAAAGAAAAAGACAGCATGGTACAGTCCCTAATTAACACAGAGCACTTCACAAGGAGAGCTTATATGGCAGGCTCTGGGCCAGACACTAAAGCTAAAGAACAAATGTGCGAAACCAAGCTCCTGCCTCATTAAAAATCTTGGTCTGAGTTGGCTATACATTTCATTATATGCCATTATCTTCATCCTCATTATACTGTGACACCTTCAGCAGTGACAGAACTCCCAAGGATATATGAAAGGAGACTTGTCCCTCTTGCTCTGCACCTTAGTCGGGATTGTGTGTTATCTGAGTGCATTTTCAGGATGTTCATTTGGAAGATTATTGAAGCAAATACTGTAATACAAATGATGCATTGTTTGGGTGCAGAAAAAAACCAAAGAGCACAAAAGAAAACCCAAGAGATTTGTTCCGCGAACTGTAGCGCACAGACAGTCCATTTCCTTGTGCTGTCCTAAAAATGTCATATAATTGTCAGTAAAAACTTTAAAAAGATTTACAGGCACATCACCTTTAATCCTGTTTAAGTCTGAAATGACTCATCACCTACCCAGGATCTACTACACCACCAAAAGAATGCAGACGGCCTCACTGAGGACCGATCCACCTGCTCATGTGTCTCGAGGACTGACTTCTGTTTTCTCATCTCCAGAGGCCAGTGAAGTCCCAGCCACATAATAGGAACTCCATAAATGTGTGACTATTATTAATTCATGTGTGCTTTTCTTCAAAGCCTACAAATATTCATTTTCCCTCATTCTGTTTCATCATCAAAGTCCCGTTAGAGAAAAGACTTATCTACAAATGTCACGCTACGGATGAAGAGCCAGGTCCCAGAGGTTAGTGCTGTACCTGGGGCCACCCAGGAGCCACAGGCCAGGACTCAGGGGGCCCTGGCTCCACCCCCAGCATGAGACTCTTCCAGGCCAAGCTGCTTCATGTACACTTCACAGGGACAATGGAAGGCTGGCCCTAGGCGACTCCATGTCCCTACACTGCTTGGTGTCATAGCCCTAAATATGGCCTAGGATTAAAAAAGAAAGCTATGAAGACCCACAGATAAAACTAACAGATAAAAAGCCCAGCCTGAGTTGGATCAAACTCAAGCTTCAAGTGGAAACATTTCTCTTTCCTGGTTGTTGTCCCTAAGGGATGCCGGCTCAGTGACTCAGAGGGAGGAGCCCTCGTGCTCACCCCCAGGCGAGGGTTTCCAACACCTCCCATCCAGGGAGCACAGCCCTATAGGCACAGAGTCTGGAGCTCTGAGTGCCCAGAAGATGCCGGAGGGTCAACGGACTCTTGCTGCCCTGAGCCTCCTTCCCCCTCCTCTCTTGGCTTCAGGCTCCCCTCAGACCCAACAGAGGCAACAAAGGCATTTCTCATGGAAATCCACCCCACAGGCTCAGCCTTGCTAGAGCTGGAAAGGGTTTGCATTCGTTTCTATCTACAAATCGCATTCGGAACCTCTGGCAAAATGAAAACAGACTCTCTTCCATTCTTTAGTAGTATTTGTTTTTGGCCCATGCAGCACCACCCTTCCCATTTAAGACTTTTTATTTCTTTTTTCCACTTAGAGTCATAATGAATTTAGTAGCCATGAGTCATCGGTTTTGCCTCGATGCCAACTTCCTCTGATTTGCGCTTTTCTGGTCTGATTTCCTCTCTTTGCTGACTTTAGGAATCTCCAATCCATGGCGTCCAAAATCGAGATGGACCCAGTGTTTGTGCTCTGTGTCTCCCACACACTGGGCTGGCGGTTCCAGGGCGGGCGGTCCTGTCCGTGGCTCCGTGGCTCCTGTCACAGAGGTCTCAGCACTTGCTGGAGTAGGAGCGACCACTATGCGGGCTGAGGGAGTGGGGGTGCCCTCGTGGGAGCCTGAGCCACCCCAGCACCGGGCTTGGACCAGAGCAAAGCTTGAGTTGACAATTGGGGTGGAAGAAAAAAATGACAGAAACTCTTCCTTCTTAAAGGAGCTTGGATGGAAACCAGTATTTAGCAAGATAATCCTAGTACTACAATTATGTCTCTGAACTTTAAAGTTCAAAGTAACATGTTAGGCTCTCTTTTTAATAATTTCTCCCAAACTCTTTGGAAAAAGAGGGCTGGCTGCCAGAATATAAGCGGTAGGCAGCAGAGTGGCCCGTCTTTGGAATCAGACAGGTTTGGAGTCAAATATTCCTTGTGTCAGTGCCTATGGGAATGACCTCAGGCAGGTCATCAGCCTTTCTCAGCAGATTTCCTCACCCTTAAAAGGAGGGGCCACTGCCTCCCTCTGTAGGAAGTGAGGACAAAGTAAGACTAAGTATTTAACGCACCTGGTCTAATGGTGGCTTGTATTTGTCATTATTTGGCTGTTAGACTTTCTGAATGATGCTGGTCATTGATAGTAGGGACAATCTTCTGAACTTCTTATTCTCCAAGGCCCAATTAGGACAAGACAGATCATAAAGCTCAACAGGCAGAGTGACAGACACGTTCCGAATAAAGTCTCAAAAAACAGTCCTATAGACGGGTCTCACATATCCTGTCTCCCTTCTCCTCTGTGGGGTACTTATAAATACAGCAGTCAGTTAGGAAGTTAATAATTACTTATAGATAGCTAAAGGGTAAATTATTCATATAACATTTTCTACATTTTATATAGTGCTGACATTTCTGACAAACATATAGACATTAGTAGCATTACAAAGCGTGGGATGGAGTCTCCCTACTCAAAGTGTGGTAGGAAAAAGCAGCACCACATCCCCTGGGAGCCTGTGAGAAATGGAGTCTCATGCCCCACCCCAGCCCTGCTGAGGCAGAGTCTGCATTCCCAGGTGATTTGCAAGCACACTGAAATTTGAGAGGCTCTGCCCACTCCTTGGTCACTCAGAGGAGACAGGCAAGGGATGGGACATGCGCTGGCTGGGGACTTGGCAGACCGGGATTCTGTCGATTGCTACTCAGCCCCTGCCACTTCTGCTTAGCTGAGCACCACTGGGCAATCACATCACTTTACATGCTTCTTCCTTCCATCCGCCTGTTAAATCAGGAACTGTGAAGGGTCAGAGGTTTTATCTGACCTGTCAGTTAACCAGTTAGCCTGCCACTGTGTGTGTGTGTGTGTGTGTGTGTGCGCACGCGCACGTGAGCGCACACATGCATGTGGGCGTGCACGCCCCCGCCCCCCAACACACAAGACACAGACCTCTGGGATAATTCCACAGCTAACATAATACTCAACGGTGAAAGACTGAAAGCTTTCCTGTTAAGATCAGAAGCAAGACAAGGATGCCCACTCTCAAAACTCCTATTCAACAGTACTGGAAGTCCTAGCCAGAGCAATTAGTCACAAAACAGAAATAACAGGCATGTAAGTCAGCAAGGATGTTTATAGATGATACGATCTTAGGAAATCCTAAAGGCTCCACCAAAAGCTGTTAGAACTAATAAATTCAGTAAAGTTGCAAGATACAAAACCAACACACAGAAATCGATTACCTTTCTAGACACAAACAGCAAACTAGCTGAAAAAGAAATTTTAAAAATCCCCTTTACAATAGCATCATAAATAATAAAATACTTAGGAATAAATTTAACCAAGGAGGTTAAAGATCTATACACTGAAAACTATAAAAAGTTGATGAAAGAAATTGAAGAAGACACAAATAAATGGAAAGATAGCCTGTGTTCATGGATTGGAAGAATTAATACTGTTAAATGTTCAGACTACTTGGAGCAATCACAGATTCAATGCAATCCTTAATCAAAATTCCAATGGCATTTTTCACAGAAATAGAAAAAAATAATCCTAAACTTGGTTTGGACCCACAAAGACCCCAAATAGCCAAAGTAATCCTGAGAAAGAAGAACAAAGCTAGAGACATCTCACTTCCTGACTTCAAACTATATTACAAAGCTATTGTAATCAGTACAGTATGGTACGGACATAAAAACATACCCAGACCAATGGGACAGAATCAAGAGTCCAGAAATCTGCCCCTTCCCACACACTTAAAATGCTGGGGAGAAAATTTAGACTTAGCCCAAGGAATAGGCAAAAAAGACAACGGAGAGCTTTGGTGGACTAACATTCTATTTGTTTTGCCTTATTTTTCAGATCTTCAGGGAAATGAAATATAAAGAGATGATGTACAGAGTGGCAGATTCTGGGGTCAAGAAATTGAAACAGTGACACTGGTGTATAATCTCACTGATCTACGAATGTTCTTTAGAAACCCAACCTGCCAGTAAGTCCAGGTAAATGGCTATCATCACCACCCTCCTAGGTTCAAATTACTGGCAACTCAGGAGGAACATATCTTGCCCAAAGATAGGAGTCTTGGGCCATGACACACATCCCTGGGCATGCGTGCCCTGGCACGCCTTGACGCCACCTTGGAGAGATGCACCTCCACATGGAGCCCTTGTGCCAAAGTGCCTGAGGGAGGGAAGCGATGCAGAGAGGAAGAGGCAGGGGAGAGAGAGAGCCAGCCCTCCCTCCAGCATCAGCAATCTCAACACGTCCTCTACCTTTTTCAAAATGCTCATCTACACTGTTCCCCCTGACTCAGACTCCCCCTATTTCTGCTTATCACATTTCTGTATGTGCTTCTAGGTTCAAAGAATATCACCTCTTCCATGTTAATTGAACAGCATGTTAATTAACAGCATTCAGGTGGTTAATTGTCCTAGTTTTTCTGTCAACCTGCAGAATTATCAAGTGCTGCAGGGAAGCAACCACCCTTTCCCCGCAAAGTGGGGAGGTTTCAAAGCTCAGAAATATTCCATCATGTCCTCCTCCTACAGAATCCGAGGGTGCCGAAAGCTAACCTCAGCTGCAGAGGTCAAGCTATTCTGGAGGCAGGGATGTTGTTAAATCAACAGAATGAATTAGTACTTCTAGAACCAAACTTCAACTTCATGCTCAACTGCCATCTTGCAAAGTGGGCGCCCACATCAGAACTTCATATTTCTACTCTGTCATCTTAGCTGTCCTTCCCTTCATTTCCCACCTCCCACGACACGCCCCAAAAAAGAAAACAGCAATTACTTCTCTAAATTTAGTTAGACTGGCCGAAGATGCTCTAGATCCCATTGTCATCGTGCCACGAGAACCTGCTCTACAAAGGAACACATAATAGATGCAACTTATCATCTCCGCTCACCCGGTTTTCAGCTTTTGTCCTGACATATATATTCAAAATTATCTAGAATAAAAAGTTAGGGTGGCAGTCTAGCTTTTGGCCAAATCCTTGGACCACCCCAGACACACTTTTTTTCTCCAGTGCTATGCAGTTCTCCCGGAGAAGGCTGTACTTTGCAGAAAGCCAGGGAGGCCACAGACAGCCACCTTTCAGCCAGCACACCAAACAGCCCACCATTGTGCCTTATTTGCAAAAGCCTTAATGTCAGGCTTGACCATAAATTCCTGGAGCAATTTCCACGAAGAGCCTATTCTGGCTTCCTCTTAGCAGAAAACCCATCTTGGCAGCGACCCCATGTCAACAGTGCCTGGTATCTTGGCGACCAGCAGGGGACTGAGTGAGCTCAGACCCACTTGTGGGCTCATGGGAACAGTCTGAGCAGCCCTGTCCTGTGACGGTGACACAGAGTTGATCTCCACGTCCTCTCTCCTCCCTGTGAACGCCTCAAGCCCATTCATTCTGAGAGGGCTGAGAACATTCCCGAGCTGTCCTCCATGTGCAGTTTTCCTAGGGGATGAGGAACCCTCGAGGCCCTCCTGCTTTGTTTTTCTTCCCAGGATTGCTGACTCCACCTGCTGCAGCTTCTGTTCAACTGTGTGTGTGCAAATCGTCTGGCACCCCCGACTTGAGAAGAGGGGTTTTGTCTTGTTCACTAACGTGCCCCAACCATGGGGAAGGGCACCTGGCACCCAGCAGGTACTTACAGGTGTCGCGTGAATAGGTGAGCGCCCCCCAGTGGGAAGGTGGACTGCTTGGATGCGTGTGCACTGGGATATCAGCTCACGGCTGCCATTTTGGAGAAATGACTGGGGCACAAAAACTGTCTCACGGAAATCTACCAGAAGAATGGGGGATGGCGCCATTCTAGTAATTTAGCCAGTGTCCTCTGGTTAGTTCTGATGGTGTCTGTAGGGATTAACCTTTCAGATTTGGTCTTCTTCACAAATCCCACAGGTTTTATTCTAAACGTGTATGACCACGACTTGTGCCAACTTCCGGGTTCAAAGACACAAGCTCTGGGGACTGGATGTGGCTTTAAGAGGGGGCTCTATTGACAGCCCTTGGGGCTGGCTGGGTGCTAGTCCTCATTCAGACCCTGGGCCTAGCTCTGACCTCCTGCCACCAGCCTCACTGGCCTAGGACCCTGCTGCTTATGCTGTGGTCCCTGAACCTTGTTCTCCAGGCTCTAGGCTGAGGTTCTGACCTCAGGCTCTGCCGGCTTCCCTGGACTTCTCTCCTCTTCTCTGTAGGCCTGGGGCACCTGTTTGTCCTTGCGGCTCTAGGGGACATCCTGGACCGGCTTCCGTCTGGCCCACATGGCCTCGGGGACTGTCTTCTCAAAATCCACACTGCCACAAACCCTCCGTCTGGGACCATCTCAGCAATGCTTGAGTTAGGGAGAGTAGCATGATCCCATTCTGGCCAAGGAGTTTGCTAGAGGGCTTCTGGCAAAGCTTTTCTTGCTCCTAAAAAGAGACTCTAGAAGAGATGCCTGTTTCTTCCTCTGGATAGCATGTGTCTGGATGTGAAGGCTGGACCTACTCTGGCCAACGCACCGCCCACCTGTGGGGGATGCTACTCCAGAAGGAAGGCAGGGCAATGAGATGGGGCATAGAAGGGGCCGGAGGACCCCTCTCACCTGCAGCCAACCCTACCCAGGCACTCTTCACAGATCACCTGTGCCCTTGCTGCCCAATCCAGTCTGAGCTGGATTTGTTGCTGCTTGCAGGGGAAAGCATCCCACGAATGCCTCTCTCCCCAGCTCCCCCGAAGCATCCTGGTGTCCCCCGAGTATTACAGGATGGCCCTCCTGAGGGCCCCTTGGCTCGTCAGTTCTCCACGTTCCCAGCTAAGAAAATGTGGGAGTTGGATTACAGTCCTGGTTCCCAACCTTTCATGCATGGGGACTATGTTTTTTTTTTTTTAAGCGAGACAACATTCACATATTACAAAATTCATCATTTTAACCATTCTGAAGTACAATTCAGTGGTTCTTTTGATACACTATGTCATGCCATTACTCCTTCCTAATTTCAGAACACCTTCACCATCCTCACAAGAAAGCCCATACCCATTAGGCAGTCACTTCTTCTTGCCCCCTCCGCTCCCCAGCCCCTGGCCACCAGGAACCTGCTTCTGTCTCTTGGGATTTGCTTATTCTGGACATTTCATATAAATGGATGGAATCACAGAATCTGTGGCCTTTTGTGTCTGGCTTCTTTCACTTAGCATCATGCTTTCAAGGTTCACCCAATGTTGTAACATGTGTCAGCACTTTGTTCTTCTTTATGGCTGAATAATATTCCACAGTATGGATATGCCATGTTTTCTTTATCCATTCATCATTTGGTGGACATCTGGGTTGTTTCTACTTTTTGACTATTGTAAATAATGATGTGATGAAGCTTTATGTATAAGTTTTTGTTTGAACACCTGTTTTCAATTCTCCTGGGGTATATATACCCAGCGGGAGAACTGCTGGGTCATATGGTACAGCCATGTTTAACCTTCTGAGGAGCCACCATAGCAGTGAGGTCTCTATGTTTTGTTTGTTCTTTAAAAAAATATTTTTATTGTGGTAAAAAACATACATCATAAAATTTACCATCTTAGCCATTCTCAGGTAGGTAGTTCCATAGTGTTCAGTATATCTACACTGCTATGAAACAGATCTCCAAAACCTTTTCATCTTCCAGAACTGAAACTCTACGCCCATCGAACAACTCCCTTTTTCCTCCTTCCCTCTGCCCCTGAAGCCTGTTGTCTTTACTATCTCTATGAATCTGACTGCTTTGGACACCTTGTGTAAGTGGAATCACACAGTTTTGTCTACGAATCTTTGTTTTTGTGACTGGCTTATTTCACTTAGCATTATGTCATCAAAGTTAATCCGTGTTGTAGTATGTGACAGGACTTTTGTCCTTTTTAAAGATTGCATAGTATTCCACTGAATGGATTTTGTTTATCCATTCATCTGTCGATGGACATTTGGGCTGCCTTCACTCGTTGGGTATTGGGAATAGTGCTGTTGTGAACCTGGGTGTGCAAATATCTCGAGACCCTGCTTTTAATTCTTTTGGAGATATACCCAGAAGTTGGCAGGGGCTTCTTTTTAACGTAAAAAACTTTGGGGGTCTCTATCCTATAGATGTTTTGCTTTTGGTATCTAGACCCTTATAGATCTTTAGTAAAATCTGACATCTTCCCTAGATTAGGTGACCTATCAGGTCATGTCCAGCTCTAACTCTGATGATTTTCTGAGAATTTCCTGATTAGAACACCATCCCCATGACTCCAGTCCACATTCATTTTACGTTAATCCCTGCAGCCCTGCCTTAGAGCTTGTACACATCTAAAAACCAAAGTAAATATCCTGCCCGGAGGGAGCTAAGGGTCCAACAAAAGACGTCCACAAGAATAAAGAATTTTCTTCCTCCACACTGACCTTACCTCATCGATCTCTTTCTCTAGCTAGGAAATAAGAAGTAATCAGGTTAATAAAGTTGATGAACTATTTTGCCTTTAAAGAATCAAAGTCTAAGCTGTTTATTACTGACTCACCAAAGTATTTTCTGAATGCTAGAAATCTGAGACAGTTGAAGTCAACAGAGTTTATTTAAATAGAAGGTTTAAAAATTTTAGGCATAATAATCATAATAAACTCAATAAAGGGCTCTTGTTTCCACGTAGTTATTCTTATATGTAGCCTTATTCTATGAAGTTATTATTACATATTTCTATAAAATGCAAGCACTGGAGAGTTGATTTAAATTCCGTTCATATGTTTATGTAATAAGAAAACACTCCTGATAAATACTGCAACCCTTTGAGTAACACCATAAAAACAAAAGAGTCATCCGTTCCAAGAGGCTGATCCAGTGCAGAAGCACAGAGCAGTGTCTGGGGGGAAAAACCGATGGCTCCATTTCCTTGCTTCCCTCCTTCCATCTGACAAAAAAGAGCTCTCCCAGCGTGGAGGGGGGCATGACCGTCTTGTAAGGAGGCTGGACGCCTGTGCAGGGGGAGGGGGCAGGAACAGGGCGCTCAGAAGCTAATCCATCACACCTGGTTTCTGCATCCGCTAGAGAACCAGACGCCGTGTAAGCATCGCCTACAAGCCGATCACCAGCAGCACTAGGCGCTGGAGGAAAGCTGGGCCTTCAGCACTTTCCTTCTCATCCCCAAACTGAAGGAGTCCAGCCAAGCTCCCGTGACATATGGATGCCCATATGCTCCCTCCCTTGGCAGAGCAGGGAGCCTTTGATTCACTACCTGCCAGACTCAAGCGTTCCGCTGGTGCCCATCTACATGAAAAGAGGACTCAGAGACCCAGTTCCTGGCGATGCTAATGCCCGTGAGTTCTAGGACACAAAGTGTCTGGGTCACACACATCGCGCTCTGCATTCATCGGGCGATTCTGGGAAAAACTTCTTAATGTACATAGCTGCCTTCCGATCGATCGCCCTAACATACACAAAGCTGCAGACTTGGGAGGAAATGTTTCATTTATGCCACACGTAACAGGGAAACTGGTACGGGGGCCACCCCTAACCCATCAGTGACAAAGGCCGTCCTTTGTGCTTGACACAGGGCCTCAGTGTTGTCAGGAAAATGAGATAAGCATGCACATCTATTCTATTTATGTTTATTTTTTGTCTGAAAAAAAAAACCCAAACAAAATGAATTAAGCTTTAGCACTATTTACTACTATGTGGCTCTTCTGCTTGTCTGTCTCGGGGCCTCACGGTCCTCCGGGCTCCGGAGGAAGGAGCCGGGGCACCTCCCACGTGCCCTGTGCCTCTTCAGCTGCTTCTAACGTCTTCCAGTATACGGGACACTGGTTAACAGGGTAACGAATTCAATTCTCTCGTTTCAGCCTCGATACATCCACGCACCCAGAACGGTGCTCAGATGTATTAGGAATGAATTTAACCTAACTTTTACAAAACGGACTTAACGTGATAGCTTAAAAAGATCCTCACAAAAGAACTCCAGGGGCAGAACTCCTACCCACACAAGCCCAGGTGATGAGTAATAACAGAGAAGGGCTCACCCTTCACCTAGTGTAAGTGCCTCATGAACCACGTTAGAGACACCAACGATCTAATCAGATGTGACAAGATGTGGCCCTCCCCCACAAACTCTGAAATCCCCAAGAAGGCCATTAGAAATTTAGATTTACATCCTGAATCACTAATGAGAAAGCTCACCTCAAGGGTATTTGGACCTTGAGATATTAGCTAATGTTAATACAAAGTCACAATGATTAGCAAGACATTGAACATATTGCTTATTTATCTAATACACGAATATTCATTTTGGATCCAGTCTATAATTTATATAACAGTAGCATAGTACCCATGTATAAATTTAAAAATGAATATACATATACTGGGGGTGCAGGCCCAAAACAATTTTTAAATTGATGGGTTGTGTGACCAACGTTTGGGGCCCACATCCCTGGTACAGAGCGTCGGCTCTGCTGGGTAGGCATACTGCTGCAGTGCTCAACCCAGGCAATGGTGCATGCCGGCACGGAGAAAAGGGACATGTCATCGTCATGCTTAATAAATTATTATGCTGCCGCTACTGTTGGTATGTCCGTGAAGCTGGGCACTGTCAATTGATGCCTAGTGGCATGAGGTGCTGTTGCTTACTATGGGATGAACTGTGTCCCTCTAAAATTTCTAAGTTAAAGTCCTGACTCTCAGTACCCCAGACTGTGACCTTATTTGGAAATGGGGTTATTGCAGGTGTGATTAGTTAAAATGAGTAGGATGGGTCCCTAATCCAATAGGACTGGTGTCCTCACAAAAGGGGGGGACGCTGGGGGGTTGCCACATGAAGATCACAGTCACGCTGCCACCAGCTAAGGAACTACCAGGCGCTGGCAGAGAGGCCTGGAACCGATCCGTCCCTACTGCTTCTGAGGGGGCACGGCCCTGCTGACGCCCTCCTCTCGAGCGTCTGGCCTCTAGAACTGTGAGTGTTTCTGTTTGTGGTACTTCGTTCAGGGAGCCTTAGGACATGAGCACACTGCTTCTTGCAGGAGGCAGCCAGCCCACAGGCGTTCTGCCTGCTCTAACCCGGGGGACGTGAGCGTGGGCCCTTCCGAGCCTCCATGGAGGGAGGGTGGGAAGAGGGCAGACATCAGGACAGGCTGCAATCTCTGTGAATGCAGGGATGTGGGGACCGGCCCCTGCTCCGCCAGCTTTCTGCTGCCCACGCCGCCACTGGCAGAACGACCGCTCTCATCCCTCCCTTGCTGGTGTGCAAACGTGAGCCCTTCATCAATGCCCCATGCTGCCCACAGGCTGAGAACACTGATCTACGAGTCTCACGTGGGCAAACCTGACAGACAGAGGTGGCCGACAGCGCCTAGAGTGTCCCCCATTTCCCTTACCAAGGCAGTCAGGGCCCTTCCCCGCTGTTCCCGCCACCATGACATCGTGCCTCTCAGGCTTTCTATTCTAGGCTTTCACGGTGCCTTCAGAACTGGCTGTCCCTGGCGGAGGCATTTATCTGTAAGCAGGTAACAACCACTTAGCCCCTTCCCAAGGACATTCCTTGTCATTTGATGCCCCACCACATCAACACTTGGCCTTGGGTCCAGGGCAGGGGTCCGTGGCCCACTGCACACCAGCATCTGGGTCATGGGCCCCGGGTCATGGGCACCGGGACCAGAACAGGTGTTGGTAGCTGGTGGGCACTCAGCACCCCTAGCCCACCGGCATCTCCACACATCTCAGGTAAAGGGACACATCCCTTGTAAAAGGCAGCGGGCAACTAGCCTGGATAGAAAGGATGATCTTGGAAAGTAAGGATGATGTTGAAATTGGTTCATCACATGGTTTAACTAAAGTTCAAGCATAGACATAATGGCTTACGGAAAAATAAAAGGTATACAGGTTGTACCATCTCCTAACTCCAGAGTTTTACATTTTTATTTTTGTTTTTGTTTTTTTTGAAGATTTTCTTTATTTATTTGACAGAGAGAGTACAAGCAGGGGGAGCAGGAGAGGGAGAATCAGGCTCCCTGCTGAGCAGGGAGCCCAGCGTGGGGCTCGATCCCAGGACCGCGGGATCACGATCTGAGCCGAAGGCAGACTCCCAACTGACTGAGCCA